CAGAATCAAAACATTACAGGATAGCTGAATACACTAGTGCAGACAACACCCGGAAGTGTGGTAAATTGTGCTTAGAAAGCATCTGCATCCCATAAGACCAAGAAGCCAAGAACACCAGCATGCTGTGTGAGAAACATGCATGAAAGTCAGAGCCCCTCTGGCACCTTGCCCACAGTCTTGCAGGTTCATGTAGCTAGTGGGTCCTCTCTGTGGCTGACTAGCTGTTCTGAAGGACAGTGCTGCAGCCATGTAGCTCTGCTCATGTCACATGTGGCCTTCCCAGGCTTCCCATGTCACATTGTTTCTGGGCATGACTCTGGAGTCCACCAGAGCCTCCATGTCCCTCACCCTAAAATGATAGCAGCTCTTCGGGGTGTGCCTAGAACCATTTGAGCTTCACTTGAGGGTCAGCTCCTGAGGCTGAGGGCTATGGGGTTGTGGCAGGGCGTGGCCTGTGGTGCAGTGCAGGGAAGGCGGACGCACCTGCACGGCATCTGCAATCATGCCCTGCTGACTAAATATAGCACTGGGTCCTGTGATTGGGGTTGTTGTTGATATGTGTGACTGGCAGCGGCAGAGCTGCAGCCCGTTGTGAGTGTACAGCAACCGTGGGTGTAAATAAAAGGATGCAAAGCATATTCATGCTGTCGGGTCTGCCATGGTCATTCATAGGGGTCAACAGCTGTTAGATCAGTCATTGGGCATCTCAGACATAAATGTGCTGGAGCTGTTGTCGTGGCACTCGAGCAGTTTCTGTCACAACTGTTAGGGTACCATGTCATCATCTGGATAGAAAGCATGGTTGCAGTGGCCTACATCAAAAGGTAGCGGGGCCTTGGGTCTCCCCTCCTCTGAATGATAGCTACCAGACTATGGCAGTGGGTTCTTCTACTTGATTAAAGCAGTTTATGTGCCAGGCTTCCCATCAACATTACAGCATGTCGAGGGGGAGCCTAATCCAAGAAGAGTGAAGACTCCATCCATAGGTGGTAAACCAGATCT